TTTCACGAAACAAACAGAGCTTCAAAATTCAAATGTTTGTTATCAAAAGCGACAGGAATTCTTTGAAATAGTTGTTAAGAGAAAGTAGCGCACCATTCAAAATTAAAGAGAATTATATTATATGCACAAAGTAGTTTCCGTTTGCATTTCCACCATTGGGGTGACTGAACATTTGTTAATCTTTTAAGTTCAAGAGTTGAATTAGTGGTGAATAAGCAGACATCTGACCGTGGATGGCACATGACCCAAGTTAGATCTTTGACACCACCAAGTGTAAATAATCCCATCCATGAGCTGATTAATAGGATATTTCATGCGCTCGGAATTTATTCATCTTAAGGCGGACATCCTTATGTTATAAAATTGAGAGAGAGTTTCAACTTATCTCACTTCGGCTAGATCACCAAACTTAGGATTTCACCAAGGCCAGTGTGGTTAACTTTTGTTAGAATTGTATCCTGCAAATCGAATGTGCGCCTTTTGGGTCTGACATTGTTCCTACTTCATTGATCAAATATGGTTCCCCAAATGTTGATTTAGATTGGATTTGGTTGTCGTTAACCAAGTGACGATGACAATTCATCCTTCTTCCTAGGTTTTTTTGTTATTCTTCGTGCTCAGCTTGTAATATCATGCTAGTTTGGTGCATGTCGTTTATTTGCAAAAAGTCGCTTAGGTTTAGGCATACCCAATTTTACATGAGTCCCAAATTCATATATATTTCTCCACATATAACATGTAGCCGCACGTGGGTAAAGGTCTACAATACTTCATCCCTCTTGGTTCAACCTTGTCCACCGTCACAAAACTTTTGCGGCCCTCATCTCCGACCACCGCCGTCATCGACATTGTGATCCCAAAGTTCCTTCTCTAACGGCATCTTAGTTGCCGTCACCATCACAAGACCCCCCCCCCTCTCTCTCTCTCTCTCTCTCTCTCTCTCTCTCTCTCTCTCTCTCTCTCTCTCTCTCTCTCTCTCTCTCTCTCTCTCTCTCTATATGCAGATTTGAGTTGAGCTTCGCCATGGACAACATCCATGGAGACAAGATCTGGTCTGCATGGAGTCCACAACCACATGCTTGATCTCATCATCATCAACAGAGTATATAGAACAACTTGGTGACCAGAGAGAGAGGAAGAGAGATGATGGCCGCGGAAGGGACAAGCAGGATGAGGAGGTGGTGGCCGCGATTGGCAACGATTGTGGTGATGGAACTCTAGTGGTGACGGCTACGGAGATGGGTACATGAAGTGGATGAGAGAGGAAGAGAAAGAAGGATATTTTTTGGAATAATCATGAGTAGACAAGCTTGACACATGATATGATTTTAACAGATAAGCTATCTTAAATTAGATAAGCTCAGACCTACCCAACTTTTTGCATCTATTAATATGCTTCTATGTTGGTGAAATTACACATCAAAATCACTTGAGGGCAAAAAAACATGACGTGGCAATATTATGATGGGGGAGTGAAGACGCAATTGAAAGGGAAAGATAACTAGCAAACTGTGAATTAGCGACCATAGCAAAACTCAATTGTGTAGTCGGGAGTACAAACTACAACATAGCCTGTAGTTGTCCTCTTAGATAAGATTATTAGTAGAAACACCTTTTGCTGCGTGAGCCTAATATATTTTGGGCATCATTGTTTCCCAATAGATATAAAAACTTGACATCTTAAAGAGACTCGAACAGGAAATACCATTGTGTTAGTGGTTGACTTTCGTGAGATCCACACATTCCCAACAAAGTTTCCTATTTGGGCTGCTATTCCGGACAAAAAATTTCCTCTCAGCCATGATTATGCGCCATTAAATACTATAAAATAGTGCAATAATTTGTGAATCCAATGAGTTTTGTCTCAACTTTTGGTGGAGAGCCCATATAACTTGCTTCTGTATTTCAATATCACCCAAATATCCCACCATATGTTCACCCATCTATATAGTGAGCGCACCTAACTAAGTACTCACATACAACTTCCTCCTCAAATTCCTTGTTTCCGAACCATCTTGTCTCCAGTCTTGTCTTCCTCCACAATTGTTGAAAGTTCAAACCCTAGTAAGGACTTGTTGCCATCCACTGTGAGAAAATGAAGCTTACGGTGCTAGTTTTGTTGGTGATGATGATGAGCTTTTGCTTGGTGGAGCCAAGGAAGGTCGCTTCGGGCGGGATATATGGGCAAGAGAAGAGAAACCAAGTTGAGAAGTACAAGAACCCCAACGGCGAAGAGAAAGGCAGGGACGTCGAGTACAAAGAAGCTAGCAGTACTATCGACAACCACCACAGCATTCCCAGAGAAAGCTACAGTAGCCAGCCGAGCGGACCCGGAAGCACCATCGGCGATGGCGGTAGCGGCTGAGTATAGAGAGAGAGAGAGAGAGAGAGAGAGAGAGAGAGAGGACGGTATGTAATGGCATACATATATGTGAGGTTGGAGTTCTGGGATAATATCATGTGAAATAGTGATGAAAGCTGCAACATTGTTTCCATGTGTAAGTAGCTTCCAGGACGCATGTTTTTTAGTGTTTTTCTCTCTTGGTTTGGGCTACTGAGTTGTGAGTAAGCACGTACAACTTTGTTAATGCATGAATAAGCATGTACGCTTGTATTCGTGTGACTTTTGCCGACTAGGGCTGTACAACTTGTATTGCACTGTTGATCAATCCTATATTAAGAGTTGAATGAAGCCGTATGAGCTCGATAAGAATGTAATGCTATAGTCTGTATAATACGCGGTATATATACGACGCAGGATTATCGTAATACAATCACACACTGGCTCCAAGAAGACTAGGAAGGAAGAACACCATAGAACCAGCTTTGATCATGGGTTATGAAGATGGAATTAAGCAGTTGAGATATTTACTCTATGTTACTAATTTGAGTACTTTGTTCGGCTACCAAAGCCTTACGATAAAGTGTGAGAGTTCTCCTTTAGATGTAATAATCTCATGAATCAATGGAAAAGTGATATTCAAAAGTCGATTTGGAGATAATGCCAAAATGCAAGCTTCGCTTTTCTACATCTTTCTAAGGATGTGTGTTCTTTTTGAAAAAAGAAATTATATGGTTTAGATGTCTAGCATCAATTGGAAACCAACTATACCTCACCAAGCGTGATAGTTTTCCCGGCCTGACCATACACCACCCTCAGATAATTACAAAGTCACACGAGTCCATAACTCCTTTCAGTGGCCCCGAGAAATTTGAGGATGAGTGTCAAAAATCAAAACCTCTTACTTCTTGAGATGACATACCCAAACGCTTAAAGTTGTGTGAATCCATTTAAAATTATCTGATCAAAGGTTATGTTATACACCCTCTTATATATACCAATACTCTAAGTTCAATCAAGATATGCCGTATAAAGAGGTTATGAATATGCACCATGTACATACAGATACACATACATGGTGCATATTTAACTCAGAAACTGTACATACAATGTAAGTAGAGCCTGTGCTTGTGCTTGAAAGACATGAGAATATTGACTTCCGATACCGGCCAAAGAGCTTGGAGAACATGTTACTCCAAACAAGTCTTTCTCTGATTCACTGGCAGTGGATAAATAATGATACGCAAACGCTCTTGCGCCGATATGTGATTAGAATGGTCAATGTGATATGAATATTTAAGTTATATTAATTTTATGATTCGGTTATGAACATTAAATGGGTCCATAGCTCAGTGGTAGAGCATTTGACTGCAGATCAAGAGGTCACCGGTTCGAACCCGGTTGGGCCCTGAGGTTTACTCTTTTTTTGTCTCTCCATTTTTCGCTCTTCGTTTCTTCCCCTCTTTATTCACCCTCAAATAAACCACAGGAAAAACTTGACCCCAAAGACGCCCAAAACGCAGTTGAAAAATGACTTTCCTTTTCTCATCGAGTAAATAATGGTAATTCTAAAACCTTGGGGTCCATGAATAACCATGAGAGACACATCAATTTATTTTGATTAAACTAACAATTGACAATTTGACACCTCTCATCAAATATGTTTTTGACGGGTGTCATTATATTCATGATGAGGTACTTTAATGTTCAATGAAAATAAGTGCAAAGAAAAGAGTGGGATTTAGGTAACTCACAGTATCATACTTTGCTCATACAATAGTAAATGACTTTCCTTTTCTCATTCAATAAATTATGGTAATTCTGAAATCTTTGGTCCATGAATAAGTGTAAGAGATTCATGGATCTACTCTGCTTAAGCTGTCAATTTACACGTCTAACACGTCTCACAAAAAATGTCTCCAATGATTGTCATTTCTAAGTTTCATGATGTGGTCGATGAAAATAAAAACGAGTAAAGAGCACGATTTAGAAAACCACAATATCGTATTTTGCTTATTCATATCATGTTTTGCTTAATCAAGCACGAGTTTCCCTTACTCAATTTCATCGGTACATCAATATGGGAATTCTCTATAAAAATGAATTGTAAACGTGTGAGAACTTCGAAACATCTTGCGATGAGTTTTGTACTTTCAGTCTCGATCTGAGATGGCTTGTGATTGGGAACCGCTATGCTGACTAGTTTGTTCTCAATTGAGTCGAAAGCTTTGGAAACATCATTTTGTCGTTTTCAATCTTCAGCTTTAAGTTTAGAAAACCAGTTTCCACGTTTCGGACAGACAATTGTTGTAACCAAACATCATTCTGTGAAACCAAAGAGCACATTTCAACATGCCAAATGATTATTGTCTTGCTGATTCAGCTGAAAGCTAAATTCCACAGAGTAACATCACCCCTTAAGCACTGCGCACCTTTAACCTAGTCCGGAGTCAGCAGAAATTTCTGGATATGAAACCGACACATCCTGATACAACGGTACATGAAAATTTCCATGTACCTGTAGTTGTGACTATGAAACGATAGGAGAGAAATGCAGCAGCAAAACTAGCAAGTTTTAGGTGACCAAAATGATGGTAACCCTGCACGGGTAACAACGAAGTCAACATATCGACTATGACCAGTGTGAGTCATGCAACACTTGCAAAAGAGCTCGGCCATAAATTCATAAAAACTCCCAGGCATACTGATCCAAACAAAGTTCTCCATCCCCGAATGGTCAAAAGACTCAATAAGCGGTGCAAGGGGAAAATACAGACGAGACCCCAATCCAGTGCTCCTCTTCTGCACAAATTTACAATGGAAATTGGAAAGGAGTAACAACAGCAAATCTCCGCCTGCCCCTCGCCTACATTTAGTGCCAACTCGTGGGCCTGCATCATCTCATGGAAACCTACACTATTAGGACGGAGGTCAATGTACAACTTCTGAGTCATTATTCTCCTTGGACCCCTGGTCTCCTGTTGAGTCCCCATCAGATGCCAATCCTCGGATTTTGACATCATAATAAACTTCTTCAACTCTTCGGAGATCATACTTCAACCCTGTCATTTTGGGAACAAGTTTAGTGAAGGGAACATGATAAAACTTTGATGAACTAATTCAAAGCTTGGATTCCTCTTTTGCTGTGCTTCACGTGCAGGCCCACAGACCTCCGCATGAGACTGCAGTGGTTATCAGGGCAGTATTTGTGCGCGTGTGATGGATGCATGCCTCTATATGTGTGTGTGCCTGTGTAGAGAGAGAGAGAGAGAGAGAGAGAGAGAGAAGAGACCATCAAATTTCTTGCGCAAGAAATCATTCCTCAAATTAAGCATACGGAAAGCTGCATTAAGTTCCGTTAAGAACTTCAGGACCTTTCTTGGGCAGTCATAATCCCCAGCTGTTACTTGGTTCACCACATACCTTGGCTGCAAAATTCAGAATGCATGTCACTCTAAACCTGTTTCGTAAAACTAACTAGCTCGCACAAAATTTAAATGGGTAAAAACATCACATAATTTTGGCCCAATATGAAAAGAAAAATGCCTGAACTTTGGTTCGTTTTTCAAATCTAGCCTCACCTTAAAATTCTATCTCAAAAAGACCTCACCTTCCAAGTTTACTTCAATTCTACCCAAAAGTTAACTTGCCTTCTAAATAGGCCATTAACTTGCTCACATGGCCCCTACATGACAAATTTATCATTAAAAAATAGAAAGTCAAAATGATTATTTTAAAAGCAAAGGAATTTAATTTTAAATAAATTTAACAAAAGAGGGAACACAATTTGAAGGGAAAAGAGAAAGGACAGAGTGGTGGCTGGCATTGGTCGCTACCACAAATGTCCCATTGACTAATGTCAGAGTGAACTCGATTGGGCGAAATAGTTCAGGTGGGACTCAGAACCTCAGTCACGATGGAGGTTGTGACTGAGCAACCGAGATCATGCGGGGTTGCCACATAGCAATCGGCTTCGCAATAAAGGTTGCATGAGCAATGTTGGGCTGCACACGACTTTCTCTCTCTCTATCTCCCCCCCACCCAAAACAAATGGAATGCAGCCTTAGAAGGAGGTTGTCGATCACACAAGAGACAGGTAGACGGTAGCTGCAGCAACTACAACACCATGACTGGCGGGAAATAGCAGGGTGGGTGGCCGCTGGCACAGTGGCTGGAGGTGGCTGGCGGTGGTGAAGAATGGAGTAAGATTAGTGTTTCCAGTTAAATTTGTGGTGATATGGGAATAAAACTTTTTTTCTAACAAAAAATCATCTATTTTAAACTAGTAATTTGTCATTTTTACAGCTCAAACGAATTTGTTATCGATTAATTTGATTAACTGAGGAAAATTTTGCATGTCGACCCCATGTAGACATCACATCGGCAAGTTAACAACTCATCTCAACAAGAAGTTAATGGCTGGCTAGAAACAGAGTGAAACTAAAAGGTGAATAATAAAGTCTAAAGGTGAAGCTAAATTTGAAAATCAAGCCAAAAGACAAGCTATACTAGATATAGGCCCATAATTTTAAACTCAATTTTGAAGGATGGTGCTCACCAATTCATTAGACATGAAACAAACTCCTGCATCAGAAGTAAAAGTTCTCAAGTTAGTGAATCCATCGACCGGCATGGCACAAGACTTATTCTGCCACTATAAACATAGGAAAATTCTTCTTGACAATGCATATATGAACTTAATCTAAAAATGCCAAATATTATGCAACTCACTAAAACAAATACAACTCCTCTAGGACCATCAAGTATCAATCAAGCAAGCCCACTTAGGAACTGCCTTTGCGAATATCTTTTGAAAATCCTTCACTTTTCTGCAAATAGGAGTCCAACATGGAGCTTTGTATCGCACAAGGACAAACAAATTCCTAGAAACAAATATGATAGTGCATGCATGTCTGCAGTGGAAGATCATAATCAATTATAAGGAAAACAAGGTCATCGCTCAACTAAACAGGAAGTCCTTTAATTGAAAATTTCTGACTAGATTGTCCATGTAAAAAGAATGGAACTAAAAATCCCAAGTTATGGATATATTATTCCCAAAAACTACTTGAAATATCAAATAACAAGTATGTGAGAAATAAATTTCCTGCAATTCGGTTGATAATAATTAAAGACACAAGGGCGAGGGCCAAGTTTTATTCAGAGGAATAAAGTAACATACGTGAACATTTGATACTAACAGCCACCCCAAAAAATGACCATTATATCCAATAAATCCACAATTAGTTTCAGTTCAGTAAATAAGCAGTTTGAGTTAAGCACACATTTAACATCACGGGAAATAATTAGACAAAAGTACAGAAGTTTCAAGAAATTTTAGCATAGTGTGAAGATCATTCTAGCAAACTTCTAAACATATTAATATGTTGAACTCCAAACTCACCAACAAGATAGTCTTCGATGTCAAGGCCAAACTGGGAATTGTTCACTGCATGGTCAATTAAAACTACTCAGAATATCAAGAAAACCATCAAAACTCTGCTTGCATCTCCTAAATATTGGATTAAGGACATGAGATGACTATAAAGTGCAGTACACCTCAAATAAAATACCATAGGCATAGCTATGAATACCTAAGAAACTAAGCCCATGCTTAATCAAAATTTACATTAGGCAATACATCCCAGAAAGAAGATATACCATAAACATCGACTTTTTTGCATGATCACAGGAGATAAAGCGAACACCATTGACTTGATAATTGACACTATAGCTATACAACAGCCTATAATATGAACTTCAAATTGCAGCAGGTCCATCGTATTTCAGTAAGATCATGTAATGACTCACAGTTTGAAAGGTTTACAGAATAGAGGCCAATTTCATACAATACAATACCACAGGGCTATGACCTCCTCATAAATGATATAACAGAGAGCTAATGGAAAGGGAACCTCCCATTCGAATGAAAACCCAACAGAAACAGGAAGAGTGACTTGAAAGAGAGTCCAAGCACTTTCATCCGATGAATTAAAAGCAGCAACTAGGCAGCTTGGGGAAAGTGGGAAATTCTTGATAACAACATGAAGAACAATCAGCCCATAACATTGGAATACAGAATGCTCCCAGATAACTTACCGGCATGAATAGCATAGAAGAATTCTAAATCGTTCACCTAAAATGGAACAATATAGTATATGACCAAGACTTCTAGCCATCACCACCCACCGAAAAACCTTCCAGGATGACTAATTCATGGACTCCATATCACAGAACTGAATCATGCCCCCAGTATCTATCTACCAACATATTTTTTTATGGAATGACATTTATAGTTGAACTTCATGAGCGAACAGAAAAGAATAGGGCAAGTGTTTAAACAATCGTAATTTTCCCTGGCTATGTGAACAGAGGACTCATTGAGTTCTCCTCAGGTAAGTTTACTGTTTAAGACAAATGACAAAATGCAATGATTAACAAAGAAAAAATCTCTTACTCCTGGCTGATTGCAGTCAGTCACTAGACACTGTAATGATTTAAAGTAATGAAGACTACCACCAAAAAAACAAGAAAAAATGAGCATTAAAGCATGAAGACCAATAATGACCACTATTGACAAAAAGAGGAGTAATTGTACTCATGAAAAGAGCAAAACTATGCTAGGAAGGCACATTATTATACAAGTATGCCCTCATCCATCCAACTGAATAAATACTGCTTTCATGCACTACACTCAGTCACTTCTCATGTGATTCGGTTATCTTCCTTGAATGGCAATGCGAGTTTGGTATGTTGCATGAGCTACCTCCATCTCAAACTATCAGAATTCTAGTCCTCACTTTGAAGGACATGACCATGTAGTAATCATACCAGGTGAAATACCCGGGGATTCTACAGAATCTCCACAACACTTTACACACCACCCAAAAGAAAAACATCAGTTGCTGATTTAATTGGAAACATAAGCCTTTTGGGGGGACTCTAGATGGAGATTAAGAAACCTTTGAATAAGTTTAGCTTGTTGCGCCCACCCCCCCCCAACCAAAAAAAAAAAACAAAAAAGCCATTAGAAGCTCTAATGCAGATGAATAATCTATAAGCTCCAGAAAATCAATAAGCGATCTTCACTTTACAGAAGCAGAATTAATATCCTTGGAGGCCAAGGACAACCTGGTAGGGTTAACCATCTCTTGGTATACCAACGGGGTATATCGTATTGCAATCATTGAAATAAGAGATCACAGAGAACATGTCTAGTACAAGAAGATAAGAGATAGGTGGCATACATCCAAGTTTTTCCCCAGCCTCATTGTGAAGCAGCAGATTTCCAGTCTCCAAATAGTGCGTGAAAGTGAGAAGGGAAACTACAGTCTGCGTTTCACTTCTCCAATCACCATGATACCTGACTCGAGAGACAAGAATTACAATCAATCTCATAAGCAGAGCTAATGGCAAAGTAAAAGAACCAAATGCTCCAAAATGCCATCGTAGTATGACCTATAATATTGATCAGGGCATTCACTCAAAATATCAGCTAGCCGACTGTAGTGATCCTTCAGTGTGCCAATGTGAGCCTTGGTCTTGTCCAGAACCTCTGCCCAAAAAAAAAAAAAATACAAGAAAGATCAATACCTCCCATACACTACCTTCCTTTAAGAAACTAGAGAATTAACACACTAAAACATCCACAAGGACATAGTCTGCTCGAGGGGAGATCAAATTACCAAATGATGTTGTCACTATGTAACTGACAAAATTAACCTCTTATACGGACAATCCAACTATAAGGTATCACAAAAGAAATACTACAGTCAAGACTTCCTTAGCATTCCGTATGCTAGGCAGACACCTTCACAAAGAGAAAAATAAGAATATAGAAGACACGAACACCAATTCACGATCCTGTCCATCCACACGAATTCCATTCCCTTTACTTCTCACCAAATCAAATTCCAACGACGTGACCAAAGATTTCTCCTTTTCAACCGCGTACTAACCCCAAGCGTCAAGCCTCCTCACGATTCAAACCATTTAAGAGTAACATGACAGAACCCAACCCCAAAACCGATACCAGCAACCGCAAACTTCTCCAACATCGAAGGCGAAAACGTGAAAAGCTACCAGGAAGCGGCCAAGACAGGTAAACCAGGAGCAAGCTCGAGTACATCAGCCTGGTGGTGGACTCGATCTCCATGACCACCGCCCTAATGCGCTCGCGCAAGCCCACGGAGTCCTCCAGCTGGGCGCGGAAGTCCTCGAACTGCTTCTCCAGAGGGAGAGCGGGGGGAGCTTCGCCGCCGGACATCGCGGAGGAGCAGCAGCAGCGGCGCCGCGTCGACGACGGGAGGGCGCGAGGCGGCGGCGGCGGCGCGATCGCGGTACGGCGGGAGCGGAAGGGGCGCGGCGGAGGAGGAGCGACGACGGCGGGGCGAAGGCCGGGCAGGGCGGAGAGCGACGAGGGATTAGGGTTTAAGGAACGAGTGAGTGTGGAGCATGCGCTGCGAAATGCTGATTTCATAATTTTGCTTTTTTCTCTACAGGTACGAATACGAGCTATAGCTAAATTGGAGGCAATTTTATTTTCGTTAAACTTGCATGCAGCTAATTTTCCAAAATAATCTCCAATTCTAGGTCTCATTTTAATTATGCACCGAATTTTTTTTTCTCAAAAAAAAAATCATCGACTTTCACCACAGTCCAAAAAATTGCCGCTGATTTCTCTAATATTAAGAAGCTACTGTTATTCCACACGAGGGCAGCAGTATTCATAAAGACGCGAATTTTGATAATGAACTTCTAATTATCCTTGATGTTGATGATTTTAAAGAAATTAGTGGTAATTTTTGGATACATGAGCAAATTTGATACTAAAGTGAAAGTTGGTGGCTATTTTTAGGGGTTAATACCATGAAAAACCCCAAACTTGTACAATTGCGATAAATTTAATCCAAACTAATCTTTTGACTATCAAAAACCCCAAACGGATACACCTGTAACAAATTTACCCTAAATTAATTTTTTGACAACAAAAAACCCAAATCTGGTACATTCGTAACAAATTTATCCTCGTTAAATTGGATTCACACAAAAAAAAACGACAAACTAGAACACCCGTGATAAACGGAGGGTAAAATCCCAAGCTGGTAAATATGTCGTGTCATTTAACTTAGCAATTTGATAGTACAATTTAATTGAAACTAACGGAGAGTAAAATTGTAACGAGTGTATTAGTTTGGGGTTTTAGGTGGTCAAAAAATTAATTTTGAGTAAATTTATCACAAATGTATTAGTTTAGGATTTTTCATAATATTAACCCTATTTTTAGATAAAACAAGGTGGAAATAGACTTAAAGTTGGATTTTTTTTAGAGAATTAAACATACAAGCAGTTAGTTGTTGTGATTTGGGTTTATCCATTTATAATTACAATTCTCAAAATAGATCCATGTCAAAATAATTAGGATATGAATATTATATAATTGGAAAAAAAGTAAAAAATTAATATCTCACGATGTGTCATGAATAATTCATTTGGTAATGCATTTTTTAAAGTTGTCGTAATATATCAAAATTGGGTGAAAAAAAAAACTTAACTTCGAAACAAACATGATAAAGGGCACGATGACCTGCTCGACCCTGTCTAGAGACCCGTTGTGTGCAATGTCCAAATAGACGGTCTTTGCAAAAACATAAGCGCGTATTAAAAAGCTTAAGCTCGAAAAAGGTTAAAATTACATATGTGGTGTTTGCCATGGACACTTATGAATGGGATAATTACCAAAACAGTCCAAAATCTATTACATTTGTACCAATTTAATCTTAAACATTTCTATAACCAAAAAAAATCTTAAATATTTCAATTTAATCCTAAATCTTTTGACAATTTGCCAATAAAGTCCATCTTGCTAACTTTAGCCGGAAATTATTGACGCGAGCGCTAACATGAACAATTTTGCAATTTTGAATAATTTTTTTCCTTTTTTCTTTTCTTATCTTTCTTTTTATTTTTAAAATGAGGTCGGTGAGGGCAAGCAACCCTCGTCAATACTAGGAGCTGGCAAGAGCCGCGACACCCTCACATGACACTAGGTGAGGGGCTACGAGCCCTCACTGTCCCATGCCCTCTCCGACCACAACAAGGACTCGCGGGCCCTAGCCTAGATTTGGTGAGGGCTCACTTGTGGTTGGCGACCTCCGCCGACCATTGCCAAGGCTGCGGACCAGAAGAGGGAAATAAGAGAAAAAGAAGAAAGAAAGTGGAAACTAAGAAAAAATTAGAAAAATTATTTTAAAATTGCAAAAAATTATCCATGTTAGCACAAATGGTACCATGTAAGAGGGTTGATGTCTATGTCAGTGATTTTCGGTTAAAATTAGCCACATGAACTTCATCGATAATTTGATCAAAAGGTTTATGACTAAATTGGCCAAATTGAAAGGTTTAAGACTAAATTGACACAATTACAATAGACTTAGGATTTTTTTGGTGATTTCTCCCACCTCAAATAATTAATTAGGTCCAATATTTCCTTGCCATTTTGATCCATTGTAGCAAATTATGGTAAAATTTAACGAAAAACTAACAGAGGATAAATTTGTCACAAGTATACCGATTTGAGGTTTTAGTTTAGAGCAAATTTGTCACATGCATACCAATTTGTGATTTTTTGTGGTATTAACCTTAAATTAAATTTAAATTTGTACTTTTCAATCCAATTATAAGTAACTAAATATAAAGATTTATCATTTATATCTATAGCGCCTCGGCCTCCACTCACCCCGGTGTGCTACGGGGTCATTTTAGGTTTTTCAAGGAAAGGAAGTTTTGCTTTTGAAATCGAAGATCAAATAAACTTCAGAAAATCTACCCCATGGTCTATTGCCCAAAGTTTGCCCTTCCACAAGTTGGAGCGCACTCTTTGATTCAAACATTATGTCCTTTATAGGAGTCGCCACTAATCATTTCTAAGTTGTTTGGAAATAAAAGATCATAATCATTAGGAGGAAGTCATTTAATTACCTCGAGGCGAGCTAGAGTGCGAAAGCTAAATATGTATGTCTAGGGGTTTGGTTATGCGCATAAGAGGAGGGTTGACAGGCCTCACGATGCTTTTTTGGTACCACATTTATTGATTAAGCTCTATGACGCAGTATATTAGTATTTACACCTCAAGTTCCACCCCCGCCCAAACCTCTATCAAAAAAATTATAGTAACAAAGCTCGATCTGGGGTTGACCTAGAGTTGACCAAAGGTTGACTTGAGAGATACGAAATCCAAAACACATTTTAAACCTCAAAATTGGGTTCTACTCGGCAAAATAAGTTTTTTGGCATCCATATTGTCATCTGAATCCGACGGCAAATTTTGTGCCTTCGAGATCGGCCTTGTAAAGAAACTTGCAATTTCTCGATTTTGTTTGCATATCACTAAAAGAGAGAGCACAAGCATCCCAATGTAACAAAAAGTGGGTTGTATCAACTTTCACTTGAATGGTCACGTGAATTTATAAACTGACATTATAACATTAACAATCAATGCTGCAATCGAATAGTCATGCAAGAAGATCTTACACTCGAAAGCTATCGTGGTCGGATCACTTCCTTTTCAAGAGGAGCCAATGCTTCTCGGGCATTTTAAGTTCCTCTTTGGTATCTCCATTCAAAATAAAACCGAGATGTTATCTTAGGTCGGAACTAAGTTAATGGATCATCATTTTTATCATCCCATGCCCTAACACTGTTGATACATCCATCTTACTAGTGATCCCTGTCAATTTGACTATCTTCTCACCATCCAAAAATCTGATCTCTTTCGGGTTGCCACTAACTCTCGCGTCCTCTCTTGTTCATTCCAATTCTTGTGCTTCTGATGTGCTGACCCCATATCTTTCAAATCGACTAAAGTAATGTAACAACAAAAAATGAGACGCAACCACCACCCAGATTCCCGCTACAAATTGATAGTTATTGGTTGACACATCTTTCCCAAAGCGTACGGCTCAATGGTATTTAGGACACAGTGTTTGGAGTTTCCCTAGAAAGTAACCTCGTATCATGCTAGGGATCGTCCTATTGTATTGTAGCAATAGTCTCTAATCATTCTAAACGGGCTTCACCTTCCAGGATTAGCATATTTAGTTGGGGGGCGTAAGAGGAATTCTACTCAGGAGCCGAAGATCACCTATTCGAATCCTATCGACTGCGTGCAAAGTGCCTTAAATTAGGGCCACTGCAAAAATCACAGGTTCGGACTTAACAGCTTCATGAAGCTTGGGAGATGTTTTATGGACTTTCAAGTAGAGTCGTCAAAATGAGTCCAAACCCCATTTAATAACACAAAACTAATTATTTTGGTCATACTAAATTCGCGGGCCAGCATAATGGGTTTAACCCATTTATTGTTGGATGTTTCAATAGTTTTGAATTATTAAAAGTTGTTAATTTTGTAACGGGTGTTTTACTGTCATAAAGTTATAATGGTTTTTTTGTCCGCTATTGATATAATAAGATTTTGTAACGTTTTATAACGGCCGTGTAACGACTTTGTAACGTCTGTTTTATTTCATTATAAACCCTCCATCATTTGTAACGGCCATATAACGGTTTTAACGGCTCTTTCTTTTGTTTGAATATAAATTTCAAACCACAACTCTTGAAGACACCGACTTAGAAAAGAGAATTTCCTTTCCTTATTATCTGTTTTTCTTTACTGGTTATACACAAAACGTTGTTTCCATTTCTTCTAATATTCAGTACGGAGTATAGAAGAAGGTATGTTGTATCTTGGGAGGATAGCCGCTAGAGTCTGTCGTACTGAGTTTCGTACTCTGAGAGGCGGAATTATCCTTAAGGATAGTGCCTGCACGCCTTAGACAATTCTTGCTTTTTCTCAAATTTAACAACAATCTTAAGGATAATTGCCTCGTGGATTGCCAAACTGGAATTGTTGTTGCTACCATTGCTATTATAATTGAATGAGGACTTGGAGATGGTGAAGGAAAGTATCGTGTATATTCGTGGGCAATTTGTCGTCCATGTTCTGTATAACTCCGAAATCATCGCTGTGTATGTGGTGTGACCGGCGAACAATATTGGTGACCTCAATCTTTGGACTTCTAGATCAAGCGATAGCTCATCTCTCAAAAAGTGGAAACTTTGAGAAGATCACTGACTGTGCTCGACAAGGCCACAATCATGACTATGGACTCTCTTTCTCTCTCTTCGCATTCGTTGTCTTCATTACTTGCGCTTCGTTTTTGTCCACCATTAACGTCTCTGTTATTGGTCTATTTCAAGGCCCTGGGAAGAGGTCGTTCGCCTACCTAGAGGAAGCTCGCTGAGCCTGGCATTAAACTCACTCATCACCATCGGGACCAAGGCGGCCTTTTGTCGTTGTTCGTTTTAATCCAATTTCTTATAGAGCACAAGTGATGTCAATGGGACATTACTGAGCATCATCACAAAAGAGCTTATGGTCGTTTCGGTAAGTTGAGTGTCAGGTCAAATCGTTCCTTGGGTGTTAGATACCTAGGTTTGTTTTTCCGAGGTCTACTTTG